AGGGAAGGGGAGAAGGGGAGAAGGGGAGAAGGGGAGAGAGAGGGGGGGGAGGGGGGGAGGAGGATTATGGTAGCATTGGAGTTCTTTGTGCAGAGATGGGTTGGCGATCCTCCTCCACACAGACAGCTTCTGGCGATTGTGGCGAACTCAAAGGGGTTCACTGGAGAGTTTAATTGTACTCACCCTTCAAGGTTTTGTTCTAAATCTAGTGTTTATATACATGCATCCTATTATATCCTTAATTTTTAATTTTCTGCATTTCTTGTGCATTTCTTTTTTAATGTCTGTAATTTCTCTGCCCACGATATTTTCTTATGCCATACTGTGTATGTTGACGAGTGTACAGGTGGCAGAGGGAGCAGTGTCTGTGTGTAAGGTGTCATGGTTGGTCGTGTTAGTTTGGTTGGTGATCTCCTTGGCTGAGCCAGCTGGCCACGTGAAGAATTCAATTCCCAAGAACGGACGCCCACATCTTAAACCGCCGATCGGCGTTCCCTCCTTCGGAAACCTGCCCTCCGGTTGACACTGGCCTGGGGAAGGTTCTGAGCACCCGCCAGCAAAGGGCTGGCGGTGCCAGGCTCATCGCATGCTGCGATAGTCCGGATTTCTTAGGACCGGGGGGAAATTCACATTGGGAAAAGGAGTCCCGGAACCACTGGCGGGGATCATTGGTTTCTTGGCTGGTTTAAACCACGATTTCGCCCGGGCGGTGCGCGCCAAGCTTTGCCAAAGCGACTGTGGTCCAGTAGGGCCCCGAACCGCGAAATGTTCGGAGGCGGCGATGAACGAAATTTCCACAAGGCTGTGAATGTGTACTGGCGGTTTACGGTGAATGGTCGATTCAATTTGAGTACCGGCTGTTTTGGTGGTTGGCTTAACTTTACAACCGGTGGTGAGTTTGTTTGTCGGTTCAAAATTGAGCATCCATCAGTTGGTTGAGTGGTTTGTTTAACTGGAGTGTCAGCTGGTACAGTGGATAGTTCAGCTTGGTGGCAGCGTGGTTCGTTGCTTGGTTGACGTGTCGCATTCTGTGGCTGATTCAGTACTTGGTTCAACTGGATGGCGGGCTGTTCAGAATTAGGAGGCGTCCTGGTTCATTAGTTGGTTCAGGCTTTAGTACTGTGGCTGGTTCAATTTGATGGCCGGTTGGTTCAGTTTAGTGGCTGCCTGGTTTGTTGGTTGATTCAGGTTTAGAACTGTGGTTTGTTCAACTCGATGGCCAGCTGGTTCAGCCTGGTCCCTGCCTGGTTCGTTGGTTGGTTCAGGTGTAATACCGTGGTTTTATCTGACAGCCGCCCGCTTTGGGTTGGTGGGTTCCTGGTTTGTTGTTCGGCTCAGCTTAAGCATCAGCTGGTTTACTCGCTGGTCCAACTTGAGCTTCAGCTGGTTCACTGGGCAGTTCAACTCGACGGCAGATTGGTTCCTGCACTGGTTCAACTCGATACCTGGCTGGGTGGTAGACTTGAGCTGAATGCCATCCCCGTCTCTGTTCCATCGAAGTAGTCGAGTAGTACCGTGCTGAAGATCGAACGCTGGGCGGTTTGTTTGCTGTGGCTTAAACCACCAGTACTTGGCCCAGCTATCGGCCGCGGAGCTTCCTCGTTAAGGCGCTGCGGCATTCGGGCTTCGGCACACCGGACCGCATTGGCTGGAGGCCACAGCCAAAATGAAAACGAAAAAGACCGACGGCGGTTTGGCAGGACTTGGCGCGCAGGGGGCTGGGAGGCTCGGCTTCGATGGCTGGGCCAAGTACTGGTGGTTTAAGTTGAACGCCAATGGAGTTGTTGGTTGGTTTAGCGTTCATGTGATTCGCAGCTGGTTTTGTTGACAGGCATTTTTTCTGAGTTAGTGTACAGGTGTGGCAGCGGCTTAGAAACGACTACCATGCGCATCGTGCAAGGGAGGGAGGGGGCTTTTGTGTAGTTGCTGGGAACTTTGCCTCTTGTTTCCGCGGTGATGGAACTGCAGATTCATTCGATCAGAGCCCCTTATAAAAATCTTGCTTATGATAGAGTAGAGTCACATAGAAAGATGTAAGAGAGAGACAGGAGAGTGGGAAAGGCTTTGTAGGCTTGCAAGAGGGGAACTATTTATGTTATGTGGATGGTTCTCTTGGTGGATTAGCTTAACTGAGGAAATTTGGGCAGATGTGTGTGGCGATGACGATTTTGACCATTTGACAACTTCTGACTGAGAGGATCGGACTCTGAAATTCTGACACGATCACTCATGATATCACTGCAGTGGCGTGCAGGACAAGATGTTGAGAAATCAAGGAAGAGTCAGTGCAGTTGTGGAACTGCACAGTTAAATTTTCTTTTTCGAGTGATAAACGGTTTCTTTAAGAGCAGCAGTACAGTGCATTGTGGAAGTGAAACGAAATCGATGCTGTAATGTATGTGCGAACTGGATGAGGGTTGGGAGGAAAGTGGTGAAAACTCTCTCTCTCTCTCTCTCTCTCTCTCTCTCTCTCTCTCTCTCTCTCTCTCTCTCTCTCTCTCTCTC